TGCAGTTTATAAAACAGCCTTTGTTTTTCCTAAGTGTTTTCAGGGACAGGGTTATTTATGTGTAGATGCGGGTGGTCTCCTGTCCAATGCTGTAACCACTGCCTTTGGGATGAATATAGAATACTTTTGGAGAGGGGTCAACTTGGCAGTTTAAATCACAAACAGATGTTGGGCCATGTTAGCTCCTGCACAAACTAACACACCGCAGCCCCTCTGTTCTTAATTCCAGTCTGTTCTTTTTATTTAAAAATGTAACATATTAAAATAACCTTCAGATGTAGAAACCAAAGCACTTAAACCAAACCCCAGGGTTTGAAGAACCTGAATCCCTGCAGAGACCAGCTGCCAGCATGGCAGCCAGGCCAGACCCCCATCACAGTGCACGGCCCCCCTGTTGATCACAGGTGAAGGGCAGAGGACACTGGCAATGTGGTACCCAGGAGCCATAGGATCACAGAATATCTGGAGTTGGAAGTGATCCACAAGGACTATCAAAGTCCAGCTGCTGGCTCTGCACAGGACCACCCCAAGAATCACATCATGTGCCTGAAAGCATTGTCCAGGCACTTCCAAGAGCCATGTCCATCTGTCCTTTCGCTCTCAAGCAGAGATCTTGGGGCTCTTATTACAGAGAACACTGCTTTCCATGCCATCTTAGGAAAATTACTATTTTATTGGTTGTAGCATAAAAGTAGAACTAAAGATACATTGTAAATGAGGTATGAAAGTGTTCAATACTTGCCAAACCAACTAGGTTTTAGTCCAGCTAAAGAGCTCCAGTTATGGGTAGCCCAGCTCTGCTTATCTGACTCCATGCCAAGTTACCTAAATTCTCTTTGCTTCAGCATCTGAAAAATGGGGATAATGATACCAGCCTCTGGAAAGGAGGTCTGTGGAAGTAAAGCAGTGTATTTCAGCTATATGCTGTAAATAGCTTGGATATGAAATTCTGCATTGCTGAACCTGTACGAATTCAGCAGTCATGTGACTGCTGAAGATGGTGTGAGATTTATATTCCTTTATGCCAGCAAAAATTCAGTGTTTGGAGGAGTTCAAGTATTGGGGAAAACCAAAGCAAAAAAAAAAAATATTCCCAACAGCCTGGAAATGCCTGCCAGAAAAACTTGTTTCTGTGTTGATGGCTCTCAACAGATCTTCTGGCATCAACTCCTTACCCCCACAACTATAGCTAGGAAACCAAAATGCCAGCTTGTGTTAATGTTTGGAGTTTTCTGGAAAGCAAAATGCCAAGCAGGCACTCATGTGACGGGGTATTTGCTGTGTAAGCCTGGGTTAGAGCCTGTCTGCAGAAACAGTAAACTCTTCTGGGGCCTGTGGCACATGCCAGCCCACTGCCTGCCATTTGCAGAACGCCTGGGTACAGGCAGGTATCTGGTGGGTTCACTGGCCAGTATTTTATGATTTTTCATTCTATGGCTATTTAAATATGCTAGCATAAGAAATGCAGAAATCATTTGCCTGAATGACATAAGGTGTTGATATAAATGTTAACTATGGGGATGTATATGCACAGGAAGAATTTGTCTAGGCGTGTCAGAATAGCATAGCTAATCTACTCTCTACCCAGTAGTGGTTGCATTGAGATGCTTCACAGAATGGGACAAGAGTCTTATGTGGGTCTCATTCAGACCTCCAATAGTCTACCCTAACTAGAAGCATTCATGTCTTTTCAATCTGTGGTGTACTGTAAATATCTCTCTTGGAACTCAGATAGAGTCTTAAAAACTGTCTTATGGCTTGAATGCTGTATTCTTCCACTTGGTTGAATTCTCAAATTCTCTCTCCCCATATGCAGGAATAGTTCTTTTTAATGTGGCATTGTTTTAATTTTTTGGTTTTATTGTTGCATTTAATTACACCAAGCCATTTAAGGTAGATATTCAGCATTAGTGTGGTTGTCAAAAGGGAGCAGCTACAGCAAAGCTATGCATAATCATTCACTGAGCTTATTAAAATGTATGTGGCAGAATAGGTGTGAGCCCGTCATTAGAGTACTTTCCCTGGAGTCTTATTTCCCTCTCTTTTGACGCAGTACAGAACCACTAGTGCTATTCTGACCAAAACTCTGAACCCCTGTAGTGGAAAACACAAAGATTCATAGATTTGGCAGTATGTTACTCCTGTTATTCTTGAGATTCTTATGGTGGTAAACTAGTGGTAATATGTACACATGGGTCACTGTCAATAGCATGGAGTTCATCAGAATGCCCCTTACTTAACTATATTAATCTTTCTTTTACAGGCAGGAGAAAACCCAGGAGTCAGTCTGTCCAGGCACACACTGCTTTAAACCAAAGGCCTCCAGCTTCAAGTCACTCTGGACCAATTGTAGAAAGCCGCCAGCCTTTCATCCAAACATCTACATCTGCTCACGAAATTGCCCAAAGGCTTTCTAGTAGTCAGCTGTCATTCCACAATTCAGCAACATCTGTGTTTTCCCAGTCCCCTGCTGTTCCTGTTGCTGGCCAGCTGACTGTGCAGGACCGAGCAGCAGCAATGCTCAGGTCCAGTCTGGCCTCTTCCACCAGCTCAACTCTCAGCCTGCTGTTCGGCAAGAGAAGTTTTTCAAGTGCTTTGGTGATTTCTGGGCTCTCAGCTGCAGATGGAGGTAACACCAGTGACACCCAGTCATCCAGCAGTATGAATATTGCCATGGGTCCTTCTGCTAGAGCAGCAAGTCAGGCAGCTCGGGTAAGGCTGAAGCCAAAACAGCGGCCCTAAGCGTGAGCTCCTGTACTGCTCTGCCATCCTGTTCTTCAACTGTCCTCACCACTATTTGGTTTCTTCCTTCTCGCTGGTCAGAAAATAGGTTTTTCCAAAACAATGCCAGGATTTTGGTATTTGTTTTGGATTTTGCAGCATCACAATGAAAATGAGACTGTTTAATATTAGTGTGTATATGAGAGTGAGCGTATTTGTAAGTAAATGACAGGTTGGCTGTTACTCACACACCTGAAATTGCAAACTGTGGCAAAGTCCCTTTCTTTCACTCAAACCAGGGATTTAAATCTCCATGTTCTGCAGCCCAAGTGCTGAATACCATCATAAGCACACTAAATAGCTCCTTCCTTTCTTGCTTATGCAGGAATTAAAATTATTTGTAGGAAAAACAACGGTTCCCCCTGAACACGACACTTGTTCTGACCAGAAATTCAGTCCAGGACCTGAAACCTTGTTGCTGAAAGGAATTCTGTAGGAACTATTTACCAAAGGAAACCTGCATGCCCTGTGATTAAACAGTACACACAAAGAACTTCCAGACTTCTTCCCAGTAGGCTCCCAGTTCGATTCCCATCTTCCCTGAAAAATTCAGTGCACATAGTAGTATTATCCTTTTACTGTCTATGTAAGTATATTCATTTAAATTTGGCTGACATCACTTGCTGTCCTGAACTTTGAAAATTTGACCTGAGCACCAGAGAGCAGAAACGTGAGAAGATGAGCTAGAGAATGAAGGGCGACTGTGACTAGACAACACAATTAAGACACTCACATTTGGCCTATCAAAATGAAAACCAAACTGATAAAAGGGAAGACTGTGGATATCCAAGTCCAACTCACTTTTCTGTTACTGTCATTCTGAACTGTGTATAACTTCCCTAGTTTCCAAATAATTCTCCAAACCTCAAGTGAAAAAAGCTCCTTAGCCTGTGTGTACTTTGCTCTCAACCCAAAAATACCATGTATGGTACAGTTCCCTCGAGTTCTTCCATGAACTTCTGCAGGAGTTGACTAACATCACTCATCTGGGTCCAATCCTGCTTTGTTACTGTAATAAGCATTAATAGTATTTCTGTACATGCAGCTGAACATATCAAATGACAAGGCATAATTCTGGCTCTCGAGTTTATGGCCTAATTTGCAAGAACTCAGCCAAGTCTGCAATACTAAGTATTAATTGTAGCATTCACCTTATCTTACTTTAAGCCATCTAAAATTTGGGAACGAAGTCTCAGTACATTGTTGTTGAGGCTTCTGTATTCACTGGAGAGGCCAATCCACTTCATCCTTAAGAGCTATTAGGAACAAATTTTCCCCTGGGAGACTCATCTCTCTCTGCCAACCATTGGCAGCCTAAATGACACACTAAGGTTACATGGCTAAATTTAGATGAGGTGAATCCTGCCCAGAGTAACTGCTCAGAGTCCAGGTGCCTGTTTGATTCAAAGCAGTAATGAGGAAGTGTTTTATTTAAATGTTAGCACAGCACAGTTCTGGAATGCTTTTATACCAATGGAGTCCTTACAGTGGGGTGGCACTGTGCTTAACGTTTTCAGACTGATAATTGCATTCAAGTTTTGATGAAAAGGTTTCTTTGTAAGTTGGATTTAAAATTTGGTGTATAAAGCAAGCCCCAGAGCAACCCAATTTAACAACTTAGAAGTCAGCCCTGCTTGGAGCAGCAGTTTGGACTGAATGACCTCCAGAAGTCCTTTTCAATCCAAATTATTTTACAGCTCTCTATACACGTACATCTGTGGTACTAAACCTCTAGCTCCTGGTCTGCTTTTCCTTCCAAATTTATGCGTTACACAAAGTGTGACAAGTACCTCTTCAGAAGTCCCTTGTGAATAATGCATGTTAAGAATCCCATGGAGTTTCACAGAATGACATTCCTACATCAATTTTTAACTTTTTTTTCACCTGTCACTTCAAAAAATAGCTGAAGTGTTACTTGGAAATTTCCTAAACTAGTTGATTTTTTCTTTCTTTCTTCCCAGCAACATGCTGAGACCTGTGAAGCAACCGATGCTGCAGAACCCAGACCACAGCGAGAGGCAGGTCCGGTCCATGCCGCATTCATGAGTCGGAACCTGGAGTGCAGAAGGGCCAGCCAAGAAGATATGGCCCTGGAAGACACTGCTTCTCAGCAAAGCCTGTCTGAGGAGCAGTAAGGAGCACTCCTAGCAGAAGGGCCATGCGCTTCTTAGGATTAAATAAAGACAGAGTTAGGTCAGGAAGCTGCACACGGGTTTAGGTTCTTTCAAATGTAATAAGCAACCTTCAAATGTTTATTTTTCTAACTTCTACACAAGAATACTACAGGGCAGATGCTCTTCAGCTAATGGCCTTCGCATGGGTAGGGTTGGAAGATATCCTAAAAAACACACAGTGCCACTTCATCTCAGGTTCTTGTAAATCCTAGAACAATGAATACAACCTGTTTAATGTTCCTTCCCCTGGAACGGTTAGAATCACAAATGAATACAGTAGGAAATATTAATACAACTCAGTGAAAAGCACACAAGACATCTCTTTCCTGCCATAACTAAACAGCTGATTGCATGCAAACTAACTGAAATTTGATATGTAACATATAGCAAAAGGCAACTATGAACAGAAGCAAGGAACACAGAAAAGGACAGTACAATGTGCTGTAACATTAGAGCTAAATCTGATTATTTTTTTTCCAACAGCAAGTCTCTTATTTTTCTTTAACATGTTATGCAGGTGCTAACGCTGAATAGCAACATGGCATCACAGACATATATACTGCATGCAGCCATACTGAAATACTGTGTGAACGAGCCATGCTACACAGATTAACAAAAGTCAAGTGTAAGAAAAGAAAGTATCCAGTGCATGGAAAGTCTTCAAAGCATATGGTGCACCTTATTTGCAAAGCAGCTTTGCATAAATTAGGTATTATCTCGTGTTCCTGTTTGATTTATAGCAGTGTTTCTCAAATTCCAAGCAACAGTACCCTTAGGAGTTGTAAAAGGGCCCAGGGGAATCCTTGAGGAGGACAGGAAAGTGCAAAGCAGGCTGTAATTATTGTCTGAAAGTGTTTGTGTTAGGAAGGGAACAGTTAAATGCCTTTAATTGCTGGACACAGCTCAGTGTCCATAAACACTTGTAGTCAGTAATTACAGAACCTTCTCATTTCCCTGCCCCATAGAAACTGAGCTGCTGCCAATTTTATAGGGCCATAAAGACAGATGATGCAAAAAGGAAGGCCACGCTTTCACAGGGTTTGAGAAACACTGATTTACAGGAATGCATGACTACTTTGGAAGGCAAAACGCTGCAACAAATCCTTACTCTACTACAGAGTCTAAACACACGCGGCTGTGTTCCCTTTTTTTTTAATTAAAAAAATTGCAGCTATCAGTGTCTTGCTGTTCCTCTTTACTGTAACTACCATAGATTGTTTCTAAATCTCAACACGATGACGTGCAGCCAGGCTGTCTTGTCCCAATTAACAAGAACGACTTAACAAGAGATGCTGTAGCTAAGTCTCATTACTGTTAGGCAATACTCAGTTGCATTCTGATCTTCCTACTGTGCCACACTTGAGATCTGAGTAGTAGAACTAAATAACACCGAGTGAAAATAAAATGATTCAAGTATGTTTTGTGTGACAGCAGTTTTTGGGTCTTCTTTTCCATTTGGAATTGTTTACACTCGCTTTCTGCCTTACAAAATTAAGAAATCTGTAGCTTTTATTTCACTTCAGATCTTGATGAATTGATTATTTATAAAGGTCAACACAACCTAGGAAAAATTCTGCCCATGTTCACAAGAGCAAAAGCAGAGTAGTCATGTACAGCCCTCTGAGACATATGGTCATCAGTGCAGTTCAGGCCCTACTACTGTCTCCTCTAGCATCCAGATGTGATGTGGAAGAGGAAATTGAATTCAGCTGCTCCCTTCTGACCACTTCTGGCAGATCGTGACTCTTGTCCCACCACCCTGTTCATTAAGTGCTTCATTACAAATGAAGGCTGGATGTTGTGGAGGGTCTTACTAACAGCCACCAGCCCCATTTCTGCCTTGGGAGCTTTTGCATGGCAGTCCACAGGACAAACCATCACAGCTTTGTCTTCCTGCATGGAGGCAGGACAAACAGGGGGCTGTGGAAAGCAGTAAGAACTCTCCCATATTCACTTAGCCTCACTTAGGCTTCCAATTTTCACATCTTTAAATCTGAATTAATTTCCATCAAAAATAAGTAATTCCATTAGTCCCAATCAACCTAAACTAGTCTGTGTATCCAACTCAAGCATACTAAACCAGATCAGGAAATGGGTGCAGAAATCCTTTCAATAGCAAGCCACTGTATCTGCTTAGCATGGATTGAGGCCCAGTGACACCACCTTTCCCCCTGCACCACAACTTCTGCAAGACTACCATCGCCATGGTCTCTGGTACTGCATCCTAAAATAATGCTGCTGCCTCACAGTTCCTGACTTAGTTCAAGCCATCAGCCCCTGGAGCACAGCTCCTTGGGGACAGCAGTGTGCCATGAAGTCCAGCCTCCTGCTGCACAGGGTGGCTGCCAGAAAAGGCAGGTTCCAACTCATTTGTTGAGGCACAGTGTGCAAGCAGGGCAAAGGAGTCAAGATTCAAAAATTTTGTAGCCATGTCCTACAGAGTTTTTATTTTGCATTAAAGTTGTTATTGTAGCTTAGTGGGTTGAAAAAACCCAAGAGTGACTGCTAACAAGCATAGCAAAGACAGAAAAAAAAAATTAAAATGAGCACAACTTTCCCACATTGCATTTCTCCGTATTTTTGGAGACAGTCTGCTCTTATATTAATAAGACTACTGCTATATGCAGTGGTTATAAATATGAGCCAATCCTACTGAATAATCAGACATGATGGTTAGAAATAAAACCTGCAACTAGGTATGAGGCTGTATTGATTAAACATATATTAGGCCTCCTTCATTTTTGCACGAGGTAGAGATACACCCAGTTACTGTGCACGTGACAGAAAATGCATGTAAGGCTCTGATGAACACAAAGCTAACAAATAGGAACCTAACCTGTACACAAGACCTAATTTCAACAGTGAGCTGCTCCGAACAGCTGTTGCATGGCACCAAAAGGCACCGAGTCCATAGGAATGGTGTTCTCAGCACCAATGCCTACATACACATAAAGGTTTTGAGTCATATCTTTACTCCTGAAAGACCTAAGCAGCTTGATACTTAACTTCACACTCCAGGTGCCTCAGAGTTGCAAGAACGGAGGCAACTTTGACACCTCAGGACCCCACTTGTTGGTAAGTTTTGGCCTCTGAATGAAAAGCAAAGGTAACTTTCACTGCTTTTATGTTATCTTCAACACTGCTGATGGGTTTTGCAATACCAAACACTGTTAAAACTTTGGCCCTGAAGTTGCTCAGGCTTAACACTTTGCCTGCAGGGCTGATCTCTTACTACAGCTGGGATGCAGGAAGGAGGGCAACCACCAACACATAAGTACCTTTTCTAAGGTGGTCCATCAGGGTTTTCTGAGTCAGGTGCTATGCTTGATTTTTCCAGAGGTGCAGAGGCCACTTAGTTCATTCAGCCAGCCCAGAACATTCTTGTTTCTACAACGTGAAAACGGTGACATTCCCATCTCGTTAGCAAGCTGAATGCATCCTTTGAGGAAATCAAGTACTCAAGACCTCCATCTCTTCATCCCTTCTGACATTTCTGTGAAAGAACTGCATGTACCAAATGCTGTTGTGGATTATCTGCCTCCCCCCAGTTTAACCTCAGATAACATCACCACTGTTGAAAAGAAACACTGGGAATTATTTTATCCACACTAGCTCAGCAGGGCCCTCCCAACCCTGACAATACAGCAGGTTACAGGAAGGAGGATAATGAGCATATGGTAAAACAAGTAGAAACACAGTACTTCAGCCCTTGCACTAAACATGGGATACTTACCTCCCTCCCAATTTTTTTTCCTAAACTTTCCATTCCCTAACAGGTTCTTGTTTACATCCTACAGTAAAAGCCAGGTGCTACACTCCTAATGGTGAAACATAGCCTGAAGATCTGGTAGAAAGATTTTCAGTAACTTTTTACCAAAGCCAGCCACAGCCTGCTGAACTGTTCACATCCACCGGGTAAACCAGCAAGCTCCACCTGGCCTTCAGCCCAGCTGTTCACCACCACAGCAAGCAAGCAGGAACCAGTGAGGGCCATAGTCTACAAAGTTCATTCCTGTTCATCCAAAAATAAAAGCCAGAGGTCCTGGCTGTTCCCTCCATTTTGTCATGCAAACTTCTCTCTGAGGAACTGAAGTTCTCGTTGCAAAGTCTCACCTCATTCCCACAGGCAGAAAATCTTGGCATTTAAGACAAATCTCAACAAAAAGGACTTATCAGTGTGAGTCTTTTCCCCTTGACATGATGACCAGATACTCTCAATATCTATGAATGACATTCTTACACTGTTAAGTTCTTAGGGCTCTCTGTGATGTCATTCACAGCTTTTTATAAAAACTGTTTATTAGAATAAGGCAAGAAATGTCATCTGCATTTGTCTCCAGCCCACCAGGCTCTTCTCATGCTGGAGAATATAAGTTAAAGATTAGTTGAATTTTGTGCAGCTCATTTTAGAAGATTAAAATTACCAGGGAGATTTTCTAGCATGTAATAATCATCTTCTCATCAATGCATTCTTTTCAACTACCCAATTACTGCCATATTTAGATTACTCCCAGAATTGGGAGCTGGTATTTAATTACCATGTTTCACTGTGCTTGTACATCCTTAAATCTGCAACACAGACATATCACTTATAATTAACTTTGCAGTGGGTCCAGTGTCAAAGACTCCCCTCTCTCAGCTTCTCAAAGTTTTACAAGTCAAAAATTGCCTAATGCATGATAAATAATGCAGGCCCTGTTTATTCCATGCTGTGTGCAATTTTATGCTGGAATTAGAAGCCTCCTTGCCAAAAACATCCTTGATTCTCGGGCTTTGAGAGAGTAATTGGTACCTCACATTCTCCCCTTTTTTGCACCAATTAAAACCTGCAGGTGCACTAATGTTGTCATCTGGAATCTAGCTGGTACATCAGAGGTTCTTTTCACCAAATGTCTGCTATTAGTAAAATTGGCCCATCAGGGAAATTGTGAATGCTCTGTTTGCTGTTACAGTGCTCTCAAGGCCTTCCAAATATTTTACTAGTGCAAGACCAGACAATAAATTTTTACCTCTAAAGTAAACATAGGTTGTCATAAAAACTTATGTTCAGTTGGAAGTACTACTTCCTCAGTCACTCAAAGTATATTTGAAAGAGGCAAATCATATCTTCAGGAGTGCCTCACATTTAAAGGCCAGACATGAGTGTTAAGGTCATCTACAATCTCCTGCTGAACAGAGACTACAAAATTTCTCTTTATTTCTCTTGAAAAGCACTCTAGTTCAGAGAGAAAATAGACTTGAAAAAAAAAACAAAAAACTCGAACACCAAATTAAAGACTCACCAATCTTGAGATAGGTGGCAGAAAACAAGAGACACTGATGTCAGTAGCAAACGTGCTTTGGTTTAAAAGGGCTGATACTTCACTCACAGTTCCAGTGAAGAAAAAAATCCACCTGCATTTTCCAGTGCCATCTTGCCTCACTACAAAAGGTCTTCCTTGTACCATGAGACAACGGCTTAAAAGTACTGGTCAGGTTTCCCAAACCTGTTGTTATAATTGTTTGGGGTTTTTTCCCACTCTATTATATGATGAGACTACAGTAGGCACCATACCATTATATGCAAGGCAATATATCTATTTTTATGGGGAACAAATACCACTTTAAGTCATCTCCCAACAAGACTGGCTGAGCTGGAATTTGGAAAACTCAGTTCTGCCATCATTCCTAAAGGAATTTCCCTCCCCAGCCTCTAACAGAGAAGTGTGAAATCTCTCCACTTTACTTAGCTTTAAGGTCAATCCTCATTTAAGACTTAACAGCAATCCCACTAAAACCTTGCTAGACTTTGGGTATTTATTTAATCATTGAACTGTTCTTTTGCAGCATATTTTACAGCTTAAGAGACTTGACATTGAAACAGGAGGACATCCAATACTTAAGGTTTCTGCTCAAAAATCTATGGCATACAGTCCTGAAAAGGTTTACACTGGTCCCAAGTCCTTCACCTCTAAAAAGGTGTTTTGTCTGAGTAAGATGCCTGAAGTAATTAAAGGATTAGCGATATCTCCAGGGCACAACCTTATTTTGCAAAAAGCAGCCAGGAGCTGTACATTCTCAAAGGAGTGGGACCCTAAGAGGAATTTTCTTTTTTCCAAATATGATGAAAATAATACTACCATCCAAACGGATTTGGGCAGAAGGGAATGAGGCCATGGCATCCTATAACATTGCATGTACCTCCTACTATGTGGGGAGGGGCAATGTTTGTACCAGACCCCCTTGTTCTGAACACAGGAAAGAGAAAGGACATTCCTTCCATGCTCCCGGCTGTTTGCAGGACACCTGTAAAAATGCCTGTCCCCATCCAGCCCTGTACAACTGTGGGTGTCAGTTCTACAGAAATTAATAAATAAAATTATATTTGAAAATGGCTTTGAATAGTTTGCTGATTTTAAAAGTTACTACACTGAACAGAAAAAAGTTAAGCAACAACTGAATTCTTAACAACTTTCTACAACCAGAGATGACAATAAATTGTACAATGAACAGTGTGCACCTGGGAGGGAATTCTGTTTTCACAGCATGCAAAACTGATTAAGTGGTAGCACTTTTCCTGAACACATTTGCACACCTCATAGGGAAACACATTGTTTAATACTCTCAAACACTTCTTATTTCACCATTAAGCATGAACAGAACTGAATAAGGAAAAAAACCCAAACAAATAAGAAGTATCAATAAACATAACAGATTGTAAAACAAATACAGATAAATGCAGTATTAAGTCAATCCTGATTAAATAAGCTCTGCATGAAAAACACGTCAATATTTGACTGAACTTCACAGACTTGAAGTTTCATATATATAATTTTACAAGGGGTGTGGGACAGGATTACCATCAGAAAACTGAAAATAAAATCAAAATGCAGCCTCTTAGCAACTGTTGTCTGGGCCATGCAGGAGAGGTTAGAGGTGGTTATTTTTACACCCAAAGTGGAATTCTGTAAATGTCACTTGGGACTGCAGGAAATTTTCTTGAAACTTTAGTTAACCCTTCTTATACTGCAACTGCAGGGAAGGGTGTCTGGAAGTAGAGGGAGAGAGATTATCAGCTTATTCCTTCTACTTCATGATTTGTCAGCACCCATGCTGAAACACACTTGGATGCACATAAACTGGGTTGCCAACAGCAAAGACATTTCTACATAAGCCAGGCAGAACACACATAGATTTGGGACAGGGTTCTGTTCTGTTACACCAGGGCTAAGTTCCAGACACTGAAGTGCTCTCTGTACTTCAGAGCAAGCCCAAACACACTCAGGAAGACTAGATCTCAAACAGATTTTACAGTTAATTGTTTTTACATGAGGTGACCTAGATCAGAGTTAGACCACCTCACTTCCAAACACCCAGATTAGAACTGGATGTTAGCTACAACTCTGTTCAATTTTTTGAATTTGGTGAACTAAATAAATACAAATCCCACTATCTCATTTTCACATGTTAGATTATTACCAGCTTTACCTTGCTACCCTGAAGGCTCCAGTAAAGCCTCCAGGGCCTAAAGCAGGAAAGACAGACTCTAAAACATCCGCAAAATGTTTTGTTGAAATAAAAGCTTTAGTGTTTACAAGAAAGAAAAGGTCTTCATTTTCTGCAGGATTCCACAGCTGCCAAGATGTCTTGCAAAATGCTGTTTCTGTTTTCCTTACTAACCTAGAGAAAGAGAAATTAAAACTGATGTAACTTGATGAATAGCCTCTATACCAGTGTTTACTTCAAAAACAATCAAAGGAGAAATTCAAATGCGTTTCTTTTTCAGTGCAGGAATGTTGACTGTCAAACACCTGCCTTCTTCTGCTACTGAGAACACAATATACTAAACCCACAAACATACATAATTGAATATTCAATGATCTTTTTGATTTAATTATCCATGGCATTTTGCAGTATTATTCAGGGCTTGAATAACTAACAAGAATCACTCAAAGAACCAGCATGTACTTTTGTCATTACTAGAATCATTTTCAACCACCAAATTTAACTTTCCTACTATAAAGTGTTCTTACACCTTTGTTACTTGCAAGGGTTGTATTTATTAAGATGACAGACCCAGCCAAAAACATCTGCAGAGAAAAAAAAATTTAAAACAGGCTTAGAAGCATACCTCTGCACTCTGAGAAACCTCCAAAAAGAAATAAGAGTACTTGAGAAAGCTGGGGTCTTCTGCAGCATGCTGAGAAACAGCCTCGGTTGACCAGTCCATGGAATGCTGGGCTTTAAGACCAGCATATGTGAAAATCCATGTAGTCCAGTGCCCTGTCTTTTTGCTTTCCAGCACATACAGATTACTGTAAACTGCCAACCAAATGCTTGTGCTTGCCAGTAAGATCAGCTCCTGGAGGCACAGAGCTGGGGGGGGCTCTGGGTGTGTAAATTAGCCCTTCTTGACAGACCAGGTCCTGATCCAGAGCCCAGTGACCCACAGTGCCATGCATTACTAATTCAAACAAAACCTGAGAGATGACTGGGGTGGTAAAGGGTTAAGAAGCAATTGCGAAGCATCAGCAAAAGCCTCATTTTTAAAAAGTCTAAGAAATTTTTCCCAGTGTTCAGACCTCTGCAGAGAGGGCAGGAAAAAATCAGACAAAGACAGATTAACCCCAAAAAAAGAGTAAGGACATTCCTATAAAGTTGGAGAAAAGCTGTTTGACAAGAAAGGAGACACATAACACTGTGCACAGCATAAAACTCTCTACCAGCAAGGTTTTCACTGCACTCCCTGTTATCTGCATTTAAGATGTGAGCACAAGAGTTTGTATCCCTCCTAGTACTACAGTCAATAATGAACAGGAGGAAATATTGTTATTATTATTATTATTCAATAGGTGACAACCTCAAGAATTTGACCCTAGGAGCCTACCACTATTTACAGTCACAGACATCCTATCCAAATGCTGGAAACCAACACAGTAAAAGCTGTGTTGTCTGTAAAAGCTACAGACAATGGTCTCACCTACCCCACTTGAATTCGAGACAGCAGATCAACATGGGACTAATGAATAAGTGACATTAGAAAAAAAAGGAGGGGGGAAGTAATGAAAGGGAAGATCTGCCTAAAAATGTCACTGGTTTTACTGAGAATCATTCCAAGCCTGTTCTAAGATAAACAAAAAACCTCACAATAACAAAGAGAACAAGACAACAAAGAATGCTCTTCAGTAAGGCTATTGAGAGACCCCAAAGTAAACAATAAACAGCACATATGAGCCAAACTCTAAATCTCACAGCAAGTGTACTGATATCCTGACTTTCAAAGGACCTTCTGCACATTTAATACTCTTCCCACTCTCTCGCAGCCAACAAAAACGATACTACATTTTATCTATCCCTTTTCCATACCTACATGCCAGAAGTCCAGTGAGAGCAGCAGAGAGACAGTGCCAAGCACTGGGAAATTTTCACAACTGTTTTACAAACGCTGCTTTATAGATATAAGTCTCCTCTTAAGATCTGGAGACATTCTGTGCAGGCAGCTTTCCCAGAGAGAACAAATCTCCCAGTATCTGTACTGAATGTACAAACAGATGGGTACAATTTTAGACAGGGAGTTAAAAAAACCTGTAGATGCTGCTTATACTAAGCATTTAGGTAAGGTGGAGGAAATTACCACCTAGACTGCAAGCATGCAACTGCAGAGGACAAAAGCCTCTTCCTCTGTTAAAAGTACTGTGAAGGAAACTGTTCATCTACAATCTGTTCAAATGGAACCTTTTTGTCTCATCCATTCAGCTATTTTCTTTCTTAATAGGCATATGCAACCAAACTTCACTAATGGGTTTCACGGAGGCAAAATTACTAGATGGGGAAAATGGGAGAAAATTAGTATCTGCCAGCTGCTAAGGATAACCTGATCCTATTCATGACACCATGTCTGCAAAACTACACAGACACATGCAGTGCAAAAAGAGCCTCTGTAGTTTCACTGTAAAGTTTAGTTCTCAGCAAAATGGAATTGGGCAACAATGGAAAGAAATGTGTTAAATATCAGAGCTCCTATCGTTAAGTGCCCTAAACATAATAAATTAAACATTTGAGAACAAATGTTCAACTGTTTTTAGGGCATCTGGGCCCATTCACCAACAAAATAAGCTTTCAAGACAGAAGGGACTGTAAAACCCCAAACAGCTGTCTCTGTGCTCTTGGCATCAAACATCAGAACTGTCCTTGTGACACTAAGAGAAGGATGAAAAAACTTTGCTGAGCTACTTGAACGCAGCCAATCTCCATTTTAAGTGATGAAGCAGCCAGCATATTTTTGGAAGGTAGTCTCCTACTTCTGTACACTTCCAGGCACCATAACAGTTAGTAAGAACTTACTGACCATGAACTGTTTGGACAATCCAGGTTCTCCCCATGCCACAGTCCTCGAAGAATATGTGAGCTGGTGATTCAACATTCACTTCAGCTACTAACATTTCTGACTCCCCACAGGCCAGTTCTGTTCCTGGTCATGCACATGTTTTAACCAGTTGGGAAAAAGCATATAGTGTGTCACTGGAGCAAGAGAGACAGATGCCCTCCTGCACAAGACTTCAGCATAGCAGGTCTGTGTCACGGGGAATGACTGCAGTCTGTTACACATTTCACATCCATCCTTTTGGCTAATGGATTCACCAGAGAACTCTATTTAATCAAAGAAACCTGCATGTCCTAATCTCAGCAGCATAAACAGGATGGGTCACTTTTTTAGTAAAAATTTTTTAGCTAGAGAAAACACTGCTCTGTTGAAATTTACAGAAATACTTTTTCTGGCTGCAGTCAGTACTTGGGAGAAGGATGTGTCAGAACACTGACACAGCTAAAAAGCCGGTGTTGAGTAGCACATGCCCTTGGAACACCACCTGATAAAAAGAGACAACAGGAGCCTCAAAAGCTTCCTTGAAAAGCCAAATGCTATTTTCTAGCACTCTGTTTCCTCCCGAGAGTACAAAATGCACACACTACTCTCCTGCTGTGACTGCAGCCTAAGCATTGACTGTTGCTTTCAGTAAGGCTTCTCCACTCTCTATTCCCCAGTCCTACCACTGTACAGCAAGTCATACAAAATTCATATTCATATCACAGAATCACAGAATATTCCAAGCTGGAAGGGATCCACGAGGATCATCAAGTCCAACTGGTAAGTGAATGGCCCCTGTGGGGATCAAACCCACAACCTTGGCATTACTAGTGCTGTGCTTTAACCAACTGAGCTCATCTTCATGTGCATCTCTGTTCAATAGCCTGACAATGAACATTCATCAGGTTGGTAGTAGAAAACCTGGGGCTTCATCTCTGAAAGGAACAGCAGGAGTTGAATGCTTATTAAAGAAAAGGAATAGCCTCTCCAAGTTGCTCCTACAATTGCTTTAGCACTTAATTAAACTGGCATTTAATGTAAAAACAGAAACTGAAGATGATGATGGGATCCCCAACTAAAAGAAAGTTGAGGAACTTTTCTGAGCACTGCAGCTTTTTTAACCTAACTTTGAAGAGGAAACATAGGTCAAAGGAGTGGGGGATGCATTTAGCTTGATTTTGTGAAGTATCCAGGACACTTAGAGATGTTAAGGAAACCTCATGCATGTATTCCTATGAACAAAAACTTGTGGTAAGCTTTTGAGACCTTCCCTGTACCTGATCAGAAATGCACTTTGAGGCCCTAATGTTCTGAAAATTATGTCTGTAAAAATAACATAATGAATTCCAAAATTGGTTCACTGACTCCAGAGAAAGTATACTCCATTTACAAGTGTCTCTCTTCTATAAATCATTTCTGCAAACTCCACTGCTGCCTTTTTTTATTTTTTTTATGAATACAATTACTGGTAATACTTCTGCAAGCCAGTCTGGGAAAAAAAAAAGAGCTTAAGAATCTGACTGTACTTTAAAAGATTTAACTCTGAGGAATAATGAATACTTATGCAGCAATAATACTACAGCAAGAAAACCTTTTAACACAACTATATCATTACTTCTGCAGCCCCTCACAAGCAAAGCCAGCTGTGTGAGCCTGCTACATCAAGTGCCAAATGGGATTTTTTTTTTAATAATGTGAGCACCTGCCCATTAAGAATAAAATGGAAACTAAAAAGCTTATTTCATACAAGCTATCCACAGCTATCAATTGGCAGTAACAGTTTTTAAACAGAGCCAAATACAAAACAGTAACCTAGAACAGAAGGCTCTTGAAGGATATTAAATATTACTCACATTGAACACTTTAACATCTTTCCTACTTCTTATTTCTTCAACAAGATCCAGTGGCTTTCCCTTAGGTATTGGAATAGTTCCAAGCACCACAGTCCCTGAGCCAGCCAGCGTTTGACGAACAGCTTGAATAAAAGCCTGGCTGAAGAGTTCCATTTTACCAATCTCATCAATGACACAAATTCTTCTCTCTGTATCACTGCCGTGGTTTACCTGTGGAAAAATGCATCAAGAAACTGTAAGTAAAACAGAATTCAGAAAAAGCAACAGAAATAATTTCTATGTTGATAAAAGAAATACCTCCTAAATAAATAAATTCAATTGTAATACTGGGGAAAGTGGAAGAGTCAAAGCTACTGCTGGCAAATGACAGACTTGGAAATCTACTATTTTTATTTCAGGACAGATTTTTGGAAGGATGAAAATATATGTACAGTATAAATACCACCTGCTATAGGAAATATCCATAATATCAGATTTCCTTCAAAGCAGAATTCTCACAATGTTCCCATACAAGCTATTTGACAACTAAGAACTATACTTTGCCTGGCAGCTCTCAATCATTCTGAGGGTCACCAATTTTTAAAAACTCTATTCTTCCCATCAAATTATGCATTTAGAATAGACAGAATAGATCAACAGTTACATAAAACAAGTATTTAAAAAATATACTTCCATTAACTCTAGATTTGGCATTTTTTTCTCTTTCAGTTGGGTTGAAGGAGGAGCACTTCTCGCAGAACAACTGGCTTTCTTCAAAGCTACCTGGATAACAACCAAGCCATTGCAAGTCCTTCCCACATCAGAACAGTCGCTTCTTTTCCATTTCTTTGTTGAGATCTATCTTATTCTATAGTCCTAGCCACCCTCCTGGATTGTAGGAGAGACTCATACTAACAATTAACCACATTTGTGGTTTGTTTGCTTTTTTCATGAAGTGAATACTGTGCCAAACAGTACCGTGCTGCAGGCTGGTGCAAGCAGCAGTGAAGTCTGCAAAAAAAGATGGGTGACTGCTACTGAGGAAAAAGCAGCTCCTAAAGTTGAGGAACTTTTCAACAGAAAAACAAGTGCAATGCCTACCCTGTTTTGGTAAAAGTAACTCAGAAGTGTGCTCCATTATTTACAGAAGCAAGGAGGAACCCAGCTAAATTCAAAACATCACTACTGATCCGTTAATATGTACCAAAACAAGCCATATTACACAGAACCTAAAAAAAATAGAGGCATTCTCCCTTGTGAAGGCAAAGTGTTTGCTTCTGGGAAAGTAAAAGAACTGTATAAAATGTATAAATCTTTTCAAGCTGAGTCCCTACTGAGTAGCTGTTTTATCTAAAATCCTTTCATAGATCAGTGAGCCAAAAAGCCAATACCAGACACTAGGTCACACACCGAGAAACACAGCACTTTGCTCTGAAAGAAACTGAAAAAACTTTATCAGTCCTGCCTGGTAAAGTTTGCAGAACCGGAGAGATCTTCCATTGCAGGCTCTACCCCATCTCACTGGAGTGAATAAAGCCGTAAGAGCTGCCGTCAAGACTAATTGGGCATGTGCCCATTTCATGCTGCTCTCTGATCAAACCAGACCATACCTATGACTCTCCTGACCTCATTCTTCATTTGTCTCTTCTTGTTTCAGTTCTGTGATCTTCCTCAATCTCCTCTTCCACTTTGGGCCACCTACATGCATGACCACATCCCTACAAAACTGACAAACAGTGCTTTCGGTGAGCACAGGATCATGCACTGTGTAACTCTGCTGGCCCCAGTTCTTCTCTTCACCTTCTTGTACTTGCAGTAAGCTATATAAGAAACTGAAAAATTCAACACTGCTAACAATTTTCTAGGAAGATCTCTCCTGGACTTCATATTAATTTGGTAGTGAAAGGATTCCAAATGCAGTACTGGCTACATGAAGTATTTATATTAAACTATCTTAGTACTTACTAACATCATAAATACAGTTGCAGTAAAATTAAACATATAAAAATAGTTCCATTTTATTAATATTTCCTTTCTCCCTTGCCCCAACATCTTTGTTTCCCTACTGTCAGACTTTAATGTTCCTTGACAAAACCAAGAATCAGATCGTCAATCTTATTTTTGCTCCTTGCACCTCTGTGGTTTTTTGTTCTAAGTTCATCAAAAAAGTCCCTTTTTCCTTGTCCCCTTGAGCTTTGGCAGTGTAGAAAAATCACAATAGGATTTTTTTAGTAGTACAGTTCAGCAGCTGCTGCACACTGTTTGTGATGTTATTGCCAAAATCAGATCTGTTCTTGTTTAATTTTAGAGAGGTGAAAGGTTGGAGTGAGAGAGGAAAGAGAAGGAAAAAGGCAGTAACAGAATATTAGCAGAAGGATAGGAAAAAGACTGTGTGGAAAGTCTTGTCACAGTCAGAGCACTCCTTAGGCAGCAGGCTAAATCCCAAATAATGAGGCTGCTTATTATAAGTCTGTAGGTACTGATACAGTGGTAATCAAAAATACCCACCGGATTTAAGAAACAAATGCTTCTACTGGAAGAAGATGAGAATCAGAGGAAGTGGGAGAAAAGGGCTCTAAAAAGAGCAGCAGCAAAAGCCTTTCTCTTGCACCCACTGACTCAATTCTCCATGTTAAGCCGTTAGTACATTTTGTTTGCTTTCCAATATGTAAGACAGTGGCATAGGAAGAAACTTTCTACTAGCTGCCTCTTCAGGCCAAGGAGGTCTTGTTCACAGGATGACATCAGATCAAGAAAAAGAAGAGACTGCAATCTCTGCAAAACCACAGTAATGACAAGAGAACAAGCCAGACTTCTACCTCCAGATTCCTCATCCCGAAGTCAATCAGAATCAGCAAACCCCAAGAAACAGGCCATTTATTAATATCAAAAACTAGTGCTGTAGAAGGGCCTTCCAGTAACACTGATCATCATAAAACACATATTTTTCAGCAGCTTTCATAGAATACTCACATTTCTCAGCATAGGTAGAACCAACCCCTCAAAGGAAACAAGGTCTACAACATACTGTCCAACCCGGTATTCACATCTTGAAGTAGAATTAGAACTGAAGTTGAAAAAGAGACACAAAATTCCTTCTCAATACTGAGTTTAGTTAGAATTCACTGCAGTCATTTCAAGTGGCTTTATGGGAATTTATTCAAATAAATCAAATGCCCTCAATTCTTCTAAGAAAGGATGGGAAATAAACTCTGCAAACCATGATTAAGTCATATTGCAGATAGCTTGCTTTTAGATAATATTTATACCATAAGCTACCTTCACAACTATGCAAGCTCAAGTTTGAACAGTGTATGGAAGGACAATGGCATCTAAAAGTCAGCAGGTATATTTACACTGAAATCAAAACTCATGTCTGCAGTTCAGATCTTTGAATTTGGTAATGTGACACTACAGACAGCATCACAGCAGTAGCCCAAATCTCAGTATAGGCTGTGAAACCCTTAAAAAATCTCAGAAAAATACTCAGTTTGCATGTGCTGCACCACACTATCCTAGGTGAAGCTCTGTTAATAGCAGAATGTAAATTAGTCAGATCAACTCTGTCTGAATGAGGTGCTAAGGTCACACGTGGACCTGGACTAAGTTTTGCTCAAAGTGGGAAAATCTAAGGTTAGAGAATCAGGAGAGACTGTGAGCTCCTCTGCACTTCAGAGGCCTCTCTCTTAGCGTGGCTCTGAAACCCTCTTTTGCTTAAAATTCACATGTGAGTTTTGAGCGTCAGTTAATGGCTCTTTAAAACAATGTTATAGGCAATTTCCCTTTTTATTTTCTACTTCTGTCTCCAAAAATTAGCCGGTGGAAACACAAAAAACTTCCTCCCTGCCTACAATAAGCTACTAACTGTATTCCAAAGAGATTTGGTCTCATAATAAAAGGCTCGTCAGTGCTTACTCTTTATCTGGTGTAAAATCGGCAGTAAGAGAGAACATCCCCCCAGCACATTTTCAATATTTCTGTATGCAACAGAGACACTGCCTGCATATACAATATGCAGGTATGTAGGTATCAGCCAGGAACAAAAACTAAACAATGAACCTGACCATGAAAGCCATATGTGTGCTGGAAATCACCTTCTGGAAGAGCATTTAACATGCTGATGGATGAAGCAGACACATAAAACAATAAGCCGCTTACAGTTATTAAAATCTCAGTACCTGACTCTAGATAAAGGTCCTCGGTTTCCAGACAAAGTGACAACATCAAATCCTGTTCTCCTGCCACCTTCTCTAACTTCCTCTGTGTAAAATCCATCAATGGGAATGCCTGAGGATTTTAGAGCTTGAGTGACTTTCTGGATCAAAGTAGTCTTTCCAACTCCTAAAAATAAAGAAGAAAAAAAGCACAGAGCATTAATCTTCTTCTGCACTAAAAGCCCATTTTTAAACACCACAGTAATGATTCAGTTCGGCAGGAACACTGATTACTTTTGAAGTTTGCAAATTAATTTTTTTAAATGGTTGGAAAGAACAGAAGCACCTTTTAAAGTTCATCCTGTACTGAAACGGTAAAGTTTTATTAGATTTAAGAAGTTCACAACAGAATGGTAAAAATATCCCAGGCTACCACTGAAATAGCTTAGATAGCACACAGGCAGGCCACAAAACTTACCCCAAGACAGGTAAATACATGAGAGCCATACTGTTACACAACTGATATTCAAGTTTGCCGGAAAACTGACTGATGAATCTCCCTTTCTACGACTGATATTCACTCCTTTTTAAGAACAGAGCTAAGTTTACCCCCTTTTTAGATCAAAAGGTCAAAGCAGACGGTTATTAACAGAAGCCTAACTGGCGCAAAGAACACACTACCTTCGCTGATGTCCTAGAAATCAGAAGCACTCGATGCCCGTGAGATACCAGGTCCTACATGGCAAAAAGTATACCCAACAATAGAAAAAATCTTCTTCTGGTAACTGAATCAAGAGACATTTTGACTAGACATAGGGAAAAGCTTTTTTATTGTGAGGCCAATGAAGCCTGAAACAGGTTGCCTGTAGAGGCCATGCAGTCTTCATGTTCTTTGAGGTTTTCAAGACATGACTGGATATGGCCTTGAGCAACCTGGTCTGGCCTCATAGCTGACCCTCTGTTACATCTCTTGAAGTTCCTTTTACATGAATTATCCTGGCACCCTTCCCTCTAATCCATTTTCTTACCCTAAGACAGGTCCTTAAAATCCTCACCACCTGATGTCTCCTTGCACATTCTGATAAACCTTTTACAGTGTAAACACTGGTCATGTCCCAGGCATCCTTTCACGTCCCCCAAGGGAGCAACTTCTTCTCCTTTCCATCCCTTGACAATCTCCTTTTAAACTCATCTTTATCACCTCTCACAAAATTTAATGCTATCACTTCATTTTTAATCACTGCTCTAAAAAAATCCGTAGATAGAAAACAGTCCTGCAGAATTAATTCCCAGAGACCAAGAACACAGACCAAATGTGAGATGCCTAAAGATGCCAAAAGAAATCATTTCAACATGCACACACCAAATTTCTCCTTTTTCCTAACAGTCAGTATCAATGACAAAATACACTGTGCCTTCAAGGGCATCTAGCCAAACTCTTAAACAAACTTTTCAAAACTGAAGAAAAGGGCTTTCTGGCAGTTGAACAACAATAAAATAACAAATGTGGCACCCTCAGTATCTAACATCTTTCCAAGGCCTTGTCTCTATAAGCGAATTTATACTAATTTGGCTAAGTGGATTTGCTACCTCTAATTTGGTTACCTTCATTCAGTAAATTGCCGAAGAAAGCTAGAATGATTCAAACTAAGTTTAAGAAAGCTTGAAGTTATACATTTAGCTAATCAAAACAGTACATTCAATTTCAGATAAATGACAAGAGACAAGGCCTAAGCAGGCCTAACCCCTGAGTCTCCCAGAGGGCTGCCTTCATTCAAGTGGATGGAAAGACAGAATGAAGGGGGTAGAATGTATTCCTATCTCAGCTTAGCAGCAGCATTTTAAATTAATTGCAGGCAAGACAGGCATCTACAAGAGGTTCACAGAAAGGAGAATTAGGTCCACTGCTTTACTCCCACACCGCAAAAGAAACCAACATCAAATGGTTAATTTCTTTATCAACCATATAGTTCAACCCTCATACTATACCCCACTCTGCCTCCGCAATAACCTGATTCCTCTACCTTGATGAACTACTCCAGTGCTTCAATCAAAGCCTGTCCATCTGGGATATCAATTATTACCTATATCTGCACGTCATTTAGGTTGGAAGTGCTAAATCACTACAATGAAGCTACAGAAAACACGAGATCTCAGAAATTATTCATGGATGCAGTTTACACCGAAACAGGATTAGTTGTCCGGGAGGCAGGTTTTTTCCCCAACACTGAACTGCGGGGCTGGAGCCAGGGACAAATCAGTAGTGCCTGGAGAAGTACATAACATAGGGGACTGGATGGAGAGATAACACTGCCTTTCATTAGGAACAAACTAATGAGCGCATTAGGAACAGCTCTGACCCCAGCACGGGGGGAGCGCAGCAGCTCCGGGCCCACACGCCGGAGGTCCCTGGAGGCAGCTGCCAAGCCCCGCTGGAGCTGAGGCGCTCCCGGGGCCCCTGGGAGTGCGGGCCGGCGGCGGGCCCGGCAGCAGGTGCCTTTACCCGGCTTCAAGTGCCCCACAGCCCCGCGCACCGTGCAGGGCGGCGGCCGAGGCCGAGACGGGCCCGGCCAGGCTAAACCAAGCTAGCCAGGTCGGGGGGCCCGCTGGGCCGCGCGTGCCCCAGAGCAGGCCGTGCGCGAGCGCACCGCCTCCCCTGCCCCGCTGCCGGGCTCCTCCGCCCCCGTTACCTGGGGGTCCTGTGAGAAACACGTGCCTGGACATGGCGGGGCCGCGCTCCGCCCTCGCCCCGCCCGCGCTGCACCGCCCCCCGCTCCGCCCCCGGCCTGGCCCGGCCCCGCCCCACACCCAGGCATCGCCCCAGCCCCAAACCCCGGAGCAGAAGATTACTAAACCCCGGGGCAGGCAGTGCCCCCCCAGGGTGGGGGGTGAACGCTAAGGGATGACGGGCCGTTCCCGGCCTGAGGCGGCCTCGGAGGCGGGGCCCAAGGGTGGGCGGGTGCTGTGGTGTTTCCCATAATATTGACGGCGCTTAACGTGAGGGGAGAAGGAAAAAAACCAACCTAATTAGTTCCTAAATGAGGTCAGTGTCTTCTTTGTCTAGTCAGTTTGACCTGTTACGTTGATGAGTATGTTAATAGAATCATAGAATGTTAAGGGTTGGAATGGACTATAAAGATCATTTCATCCCAGCCCTCCCTGCCTTGTGCAGGGACACCTCCCACTAGACTAGGTTGCTCAAGGCTTTATCCAACCTGGCTTTGAACGCTGCCAGTGTTGGGGCATCCACAACCTGTTCCAGTATCTCACCACCCTCACAGTAAAAAATTTTTTATAATATCTAACCTAATTTCCCTGTTCAATTTTTAGCTGATAACTCCTTGTCCTACCACTATAGTTCTAGATGAAGAGTCTCTCTCCAGCTTCCCTGTAGGCCCCCTTCAGGTACTGGAAGGTTGCTATGGAGTCTCCACACAACCTTCTCCAGGCTGAATAACCCCAACTTTCTCAGCCTGTCTTTGTGGCAGAAGTGCTTCAGTCCTCTTATCAACTTTATGGCCCTCCTGTGGACTTGCTTCAACAGTTCCATGTCCTCCTTATGTTTGGGACACCAGAACTGTATGCAGTACTCCAGGTGGGGTCTCATGAGAACAGTTATAATAATGAACTCACCCTAGAGCTTTTTACCTGTTACAAGTGAGAAATGTACTCCAAGGTGCGGCAAACACGTCAATTAAAAGAGGAATGGTTTGTCTGATATCTTAGTGTAGACACCAAATGTAATAAGGGGGGGTTAATACACACCCTGGGGGTTGTTACAAAGCTGAGAGAATTGAGTCACAAATGAAAAGGTCTGGCAGGTTTAACTAAGACACTGATAGACATCTGCATCCCAAAATGCTATATGCGTATGGCTTCTGTATTTGTTTATACTTGGGTGTGAGGAGCAGTAAGAGAGCAGGGAAAAGGATTTATGTGTGGATGACTGTGGTACACAGGCTTCTGTCTGGGTGAAGTGATGACCTGCCACCGAGATGTACTGCTGCCTGCCTGGCCATAAGCACTAAAATGGTTACCCAAAAATCCTGGGCTATGAGAAGGATACGTCCCATTTTGTACTTGCTTCAGCTAGAATAGATCTCTTCAGGTTCAGCACATTTTTGTCTGGCTTTCATTTTCAGTAATTTCCTGAGGAGGTAAAGGTTATTCATCATTTTCACAAAGATAATGAGTATCATTGACAGCCAAATGGCATATGCAGATCAGCAGGTAGTCTGCACATCACGATTGATGGGTATTTCCATTAATTGAACAAAATATTTTTGATGTGTACATCTCATATGGCCACTATTCCTTGTATTAGTCAGGTGGTAGAAAACATGCATCCTCTTCAACTGTGGCCTTAAGGGAGTTGAAATCCATATTGTCCATATGCCAGGAGAGTATCCTTGTAACCAGATTTACAGGCTTTTCCTATTAAGTTTGAGACACAGTAGAGCCACATATTCAAGCTGATTGGGCCAGACAGAGCACAGTTAAGATGTTAATGTAGAGGAAGGAAGACCTAATTTCTGCCCTCATTGACATTGTACAGTCAGTGGATATATTACATATAATTAATTCACTGGATATGTTAGATATAATCAATATACTTATGTTTACATAAAATTTGGGGTCATGAGAAGCAAAACTCAAGTGTTACTTCTGAGCAGACCAGGGATTGTTCTTACCATAGTTTAGAACATCTGTACATTTTTTAACTGTTTCACTGGATGTGGCCAGAGGTCATTTCAGAAGGGAGATTGTAACTCCAAATTCTTGTTTGCTTGTTCTCTGCTTTCATCCATGATTCAATTCAGTTAATTTATCTTTGTCTTAAACATAATGACTTTTATTTCTCATTTAGCATGAGTAGTGTGGAACATGTTTCATCCTTAATATTTAATTAAAAAAACTGGACAACTCTGGTATGCCTTTTGTGGGGTTGCAGGGTTGAGAGGTAACAAGACAGCTTCCCTTGTCATCTAAAATGAAAACTGTATTTTCATAGTTTACATTCCAGTATTTTGTTTTGTGTTTTTTTTAGAATCAATGAAATCGTAATATTAACTTACAGCTTCCTGTGGGGTTTGTCAGGCATCTTTAATCTAAAGAAAGAATCACGGAGAAGAACTGCATATTTAATAGATTATTAACACAAGAACAACGCTTTATAACTGGCTACTTCACCCTTGCCCCGAACTTCCTGTGCAGAGCTTACTGTGATTGATTTTACAGGTAGGTTTTCTGTATAATATTAAACTATTTCAGTCTATTGGCTAGTTGCCCAGGCAGGCCATATTAAGAGACCCACACAATGTTGTTTTGTTCCACACAGAGTTTTACTAGGTTTTACAAATCAACCTTTCATTTTCAGAAATGCATGTGGAGAATTTTAAGGCTATCGCTACTGTGTGACAGAACCCTTGTTTTCTGGTATTAATGCCTTAAGACCCTTTTAGTTTCTTATTTTTCTAATTTTGTAAGCTTTATAAGTTTTATAAGAAGTAGAAGTAGATTTTAGAAGCTGCAGCCCTTATCCCTCACCCTTTAGCACCCTTTAGTTTACACATTCCTCAACCCTCTTACCCCATTCCACGCTCCCCATATCAATCCTACCCCTGAATTCAGTAGAAATGTTTAGTCTTTTGTCAAGGCAAGGCCTACGCTGTTTAGAGAACACTCATATTGTGGCCTGAACAACAGAACACAGTCAGGAACTAGGTAACAGGGTACCCTTTGTGCTCTGAAGATGATGAAGAAGTGGTCCCAAAAGCCCACAGACCCAGTTCCCAGGGGGTGGGCCAGGGGGTGGACCAGGGCAAAAGCTACGGGATGGGCAAAACTTGGATTGGTCGGGCAGTATTATAAAATGTAACATCTCAGGCAGGGCCGGTGTGCGTCTTGTAACATCTATGCCTAGACACAAATTAAACCCTTTCCTTATCTCACCCTCAATTAACTGCTTCGGAGTTTTTTTTCCTTAGCGCTTTTAGACATCAGTATCATATTCTAAGAACTATTTCATCCTTTTCTCAGATACAGGACTCAGAGTTATTTCACTGTGGGGCTGAGACCTTTGTCTTACAAACAAATGTGTGAATAAAGTAGTTGCAGGACCAGGGCTTTAATTAGTTAGCATTTCCCTTTGATTTCCATAGTAATTTCTACCATAAAATGTTCTCTCCTTCTGGATACTCTGTCTAGGCCAAAGTCATTTAAAAGCACCAAAACCAGGAAGTAGATATGCCAATTGTGCTTTTGTAGTTTTTGCTGTTAGGAGGACCTTATGTTTGCTAAATGAATTGGAATTTTTAGGTATGTTTTATCAAAGATTTACTATTTAAGTTTGTTCCCTTTGGTATCTTTATTCTATAATCCAGTGACTGCATAGAAGATGCAGGTTGTTCAAGAAGCACGGGCTGCAGGGTGCATGTTGTCTTCTCTGTGCCTGTATGCTATGACCAGTAGTCTTTGGAGCCAGCCTGTGTGCTCTCCTGATCTTGACATTTTTGCATGCTTGGCTGGAGATGGTTAGCTGAAATAAGTAGAAATAGCACATACCCTAGCAGTATAGATAACTCTAAAAGAAAATAAGTAAGTAGGTTTACTCCTTCCAGGATGAGGAGAGAAAACCTCAGCTTTTCCTCTGCGGGTATGGGTAGGTTAATTTGTAGTTACTTATTCCTGAGAGATTCTTAGCTCAAAATATTTTCCTGATCAACTATCTAGACTCTGGTTTTGCTAGGTGAGTGTCAGTAAAACTCCACTCATGATGAAATGAATTGTATGATTGGGCAAGGCCATGAAAGAAGTATTTACAAAAAGACTCCCCCCACGGGCAGGATCTGATTCTGGGTGACTGTGGAGACTTTTGGAGGAGCTGCCAATCATTGTTACAAACTGTTAGCTAAGCCTGGGGAAATTTGCATTTATTGCTGGATGTTCACTAAAAAAAACTTGGATAGAGTCCTAGACCTTTATGTTGAATGGGGCAAAATTAATTAACTGCAAGTTTCCAGACCAGTGACTAAGAAAAGAGGTCATTTATGATATTTATGGTATTCCCTAGAGTAGAAGCTGGAAGGAATGAGAGTGTAATCTACCATCTCTGACCTGCCTCAGTAGGCAGGAGTTTGCATTTCAGCACTGCCTCAAAGAAGGCACAGTACCTTGTTACAATTTTAGTCCTTGGTTTATTTGGTGTTAGGTTTTGGAGGCTTTTCCACTGATGGAAGAGAGAATGGTTAGGTTGAAACCCCTTACTTTCTCTCCAATAGAACTTGTCTTTTTGATTCACAGTACCTCAAGCTTTTACAGCAGTTTGCTTACATCAGGATAGGGAAGTACACTTTTTTTAGAAATAAGATTTCATTTTAGAGAGTTCCTTATTTTGCCCTTGTTCTCACCTGCAGAGAATGTTCTGACTTACAGATAGTGAGTGTAGCTGTAGGTCACTGGCCATCTGATGATATTAGTGATGGTGTTTCTGAGTTGACTTTTGTTTTACCTCTGGAGTAATCATAGCATCAGCAGGTGTCTGAGAGTAAACACTGAGCATCTACAGCCTACCAGTCTTTAATCTTAAACTTCCCAGAGAGAGAAACCATTAGCTACATGCAGGGCTTCCTCTAGATAAAAACTTGGGTACAACCTCTCTCAGAGATTTACCTATAGAACTTTTTTTTGTGTAAGTCATGCAGTAGAAATCCTTTGTGTTCCACCAATAGTTGTGTTCCCCAAAACAGAAGAAATTCCGGAA